GGCCGTAAGAGCCCTAGGCTTGTACAGCGGTTGTCGATATATTTGTTCTGGTCATCCTGATGCTCCGCACTGTCAACACTTTATGATCAACGTTTACTCACTGTTCCGTTTTCTGTACTGAGCGCTGCCGAGGTTGGCTCCGGGCGAGCTCAGCAGGACTCAGTCAGGAGCATCAATAGGTAGTCCTAGTAGATCACCTTCTCTCACTGAGCTGTTTCTCGATTGCTGAGTACTGCGTTGGATAACGGGCACGGCATAGCATCGCATACCGCAGTTCCTATGCGTACTGAATAGAGCCTGTTGCTATACGGTCTAGCTAGTGTCTCTTCAAGGCGGCCATGCTCTTCGTGCCAGCCTTGTCTCTCAGTGGTAGTCATAGAGTGTGGAAACTTTTAGACTGAGAAGGTTCGTATCGTTTGAGCTGGACTTGAGCTCTCCTGTGGATGTTACTGAAGTGGTGGGTCTTCTGGGGTATTCCTATTGGGGTTCACTGTGGTAGTACATTGCTATCGTCCAGTAGTAGTTAATGGTAGTATTTGCTAGCAAAACTTGGCGCAACCTCACTGATAAGGTATTGCCTTATACAGCTCACTAAGAGTGTACTGCGGCGAATCTCAGGTCATTGGCGTGAAGACGATATCATCGGACCCGCTTGAGAAGCAGAGGGCTGCATTATTGGACCACGCGGCTAAGGCCCAAGTATTACATCTGGAGGGGTGCGGCGGGACTTGCTGCTATTGTCAGGCTTTCCACCAGCAGTTGGTGAAGCTTGTGAATCTCACGGATCAGATGGGAGCCTCTCAGTTGGAGATCGTGGAGCAGTGTAGAGACGTGTTGACTCCTTCTGAGAGCACACCCAGTTCTACACAGGAAAGCGGAGTGAGCTCTTCTTCAATTGCTTGCCGTTCATCTTCGTAATTCAGTACGCCCCGGCTATTTCCATTTTCGCAGACCAGCTGAGCAGATGTCAGCAGTCGGCCCAGGCGTCCCGACCGCAGCTGCAGGTTGCGGTGGGGGAGGCTCAGAAGTTGGTACAGCGAAACGCCGACTTACAGCAGAAGCTGAAGGACCGTGATAGAGCGTTTGCCGACCTTGACCATTACAATCATAAGATGGAGGAGCTCAAGTCGGATGCCTCAAAACGCTCTAAGAAGGATTCAAAGGCCGAGGAGAGGCTCTCACGGGTAGGGGTGTATGGTACCTGGTGTCGCTATCACCTAGTGTGGAGTATCAGAATGTTGAGAAGCATCGTATGGCGCAAGAGTCTTTCATCAAGTTGGACAATCAAGTGAGAGGGGAGATGTCACAACTGATCGAAGGGAAGGAAGCTGACTTTGCCAAGATCATCGCTGAGGTGAAGCACCGATTTACTGGTTTAAGCCCTTACACCCTACTTGTTGTCAGTACTCTCGATACTTGGGAGTCACAGCGTCCGCAGGGATGCAGGGCATCACGACTTTCACAGAGCAAGTGCCTGCCATAATCAGGCAGCAGGTGGAGCGAGATGAGGACCCCTTTCCCTTCCATAATCAGAATTCTGGTGGATCAATTATCAACCAATCAGTATCGGTGATAGCACCGTAAGCCGCTTAGTCGATGGCAGTTACCGCTACAATGCTTACTCAGTTACGACATCTCGATGAGTGACCATAAGAGGAATGCCTCTTCTGCGCCCTTCATGATGATCTAATTCCCCCTTGCTGCTACTGCTACTGCTCATCTTGTGTAGTGAGATCATCAGCATCATGCGCATGTGATGCTGAGAATGCATGTTTATCATGTATCATATCACTTACGGTTCATATCTGCTAGTATCAATGATATGCACAGAGTAATCCTTTTCGTTCCAATTCATAGAGCATATGACGAATAGTATCACTGCATACCATGCCTCTTGTATTGGTTAATTATCCGGAAGTAGCTTTCTGTCATCCTGTGTGTCCACCACCTCTTCAGGGAGGTACTCTTTCGGAGGACTTCGAACAAGGCGTAAGACGAGAGCATGCAATGAACATCGACAGTTGAGCATTCATTTTTCATCTGCCATGCCTTTCTTTGAGGGATCTAAGACTCTTCGTAGGATTAAGGAGAGGGTAGCTACTACACCTTGTGGCGTCATCCTGACAGCCGCTGTATGTATTAGATTCGAGGGGTCAGGCGTATCAAGGGGGATCCTCTGGAAGGAGATCGAGCTGTGGCCTCGGACTTCTTTGAACACTGCAAGGTCTAAGTCTTAGAAAGTTTCTCGTCACCCTATAAACCATATCATCGTTGTCGATGCGTTTGGCGATGTGTTAGATATTCAACAATACTGTCGATGCACTGGCAAACGTCATGGAGGAGCTGGCCAGTGTCAACAACCGACTGATGGAGTCTGCTAAGTCCTCCTTCCCTCACGACAACCCTGTAGATAGTCGGAAGCCGCCACTACTCCTAACTGTTGGTTCTCTATTCAGTACGCACCAATAAGGGCTACTATGAGTGAGGCACTAGAGCATCTGAAGACAACCATACGTGGTCGAGGCAATAATTTAGAGGGTATGAAATATGCATCGAGGCAGCTGATGAAGCAGGGGTTAGATATGGACACTATGCTCGTGTAAGGGGGGATCGACAGTCATTGCGGCTCAATCGTGGCTCTCCTGCGTCTCCTTATCAATATACTCGGACGAGGCTCGGCCTTCTAGCCTCCCAGCTGCCGGAAGTCGTGATCCTCGATCGTGGCTCGCATCGTTAATCTGTGTAGTAGGGATAGCCGGGTGGTAGGGGATTCCTTTCAGCGATCGGGACCGTGCTCACAGTTTGATGGCACATTATGACGTGAAGGTAAAAAAGTTGAAGGGATCCAAGAAGACGCCTGCAGAGAAGATGGATAGGGTAGAGGCAGATAGTGTGAGGATTCGAGGAGAATGCTGCTGACTCGTAGAATAAGCTCAAGCACAGTGTCGCGACGCATTCATTCGAGGAAATGGATAAGGATGCACGCAGCAGATTGTCCGGTGTGCTCTCTACTCGCGATAAGGAGTTCGCCACGCTGCTTGGACTGGTAGGCGCTATCTCTCTCGAGAATGGAATCAGCTTCAAACATAGAACGGCGATGAAAACTGATTTCAGTTGTGTTCGTACTTGTCTACGATGGCGAAGGAGATGGAGGAGTGCACGAAACCACTGGCAGGCGTCTACAAGAGGGTTGAGCTCATCAATGGTGGCAAGCGTGAAGGTACGGCGACCGCTGTGTGTCGGGTTCTTTCAAGTACAGCAGGTGCCAACCCCTTCCCTTCACCATCTCTAAACCCCTTCGACGAGATGTAGGCATGATGGTGCTTGCTAACTCCAGTGTAACATGATATATAGGAATGCCGAGCCGGTCGTGGTTTTCCGTGATAATTCCAAAACAGAGAAACTCAGCCATGTGCCTTCCCACAGTGCGAAGACAGTAAGTTGACTTCTGAGGGGACACTGGACGTTTCTATTGCGACCAATGCGAGAATATGCGTGGCAGGTGATTACTCTACCGAGCAGCGACCTCCAAGAGAAGCCGCCATCGGGCGTCCCTGTGGGTGGCAGTTCTAACACTGGCACGCCGACAACAGTAAAGCACACCTCGAGCGGTGATGTCGATCGTTTCGATCCGAACACAATCATGGAGGAGGAGACCATTCGAATCGGAGGGAGTCGCAGCCCTGCAGAGGGCCCTCCAGTCTCTGCTATTAAGGAGGAGAAGACACCTGAGAAGAGGGGGAAGAAGAGCAAGTTGATGCGAATGATCAAAGGGTAGTTCAGGAGATCAGCCATCCCGCTGGAGAAGTTGCCGTTTACTACTGCATGACTGTTGTCAACCATGACACTGAATGACCGAGGTTCTCCACCAATGACTTGAAAATTCTAGTTCGACTCTGCTTTTCATTTCGTCCTGTCCACAGTGCTTGTTTTCCCTTGTATGATTTTCCCGTTTACACCCACAACGCCGTATGTGCCGTTAGAGTCGCCGCCGTCGATGACGACTACGGGTGCTCTAAATCAGCATGAACCTACTGTGCAGCATCCCGGGGAGCATTCTTCATTGCGGTCACTGAAAGATGAGGAGACGCCATGGGAGGAGTGGAAGCACTCGATCATGTGCATATCTTTCTACACTGGAGCAGGGCTGTTATACTGCTTCTGTTGGGCTGGATGGGGTCTGGTGGATTCAACGTAGTCCTGGAGAATTGCCATAGTTCAACTCTGATAGCATTCTCGATCAATGCATACATTTATGAGAGCCGTGAGCTTTGACATAGAGAAATAATTCCTCTTGTGATATGCCATCATCACGGTGTTTTTGTTATTATCTGTTGAGCAGCATCCATCCGTCTCCTCAGGTTTTGTGATTTCAGATACTTCCTAATCGTCACGGGTTCCACCGTGGGCTACGGTGACATCAGCTTCCCTCTGGACACAACGAGCTCTCTCTTTGCCTGCTGCTACCTTATACTGGGAGTGGGCATCGCTGCCTATTCTGCAGGACTGGTGACCATCTTGGATTGGTGATTATGAGAGCAGATATGTTGACATATGCAGGTACTCAACAAGTGGGTTCAAACTACTGAGACAGAGATGGCCAAGGAGGTCCAACAGTCCCATATGAAGAGGAGCGAGCAGTCTCTGATGCGGAATAGGCTACTTCGGAAGCATCTTCTCACTTCACTTGCACGTCTTGCTGTTGTAATAGAATCATCGACTTGTAGTTTTATTGCATTGGCTCGCTGTAGACCCTGTGTGTCGGTGCCGGAGTGATCGGCCTCCTCGAGGGTTGGGGTGGCCCTAAGGCTCTCTACTGGTGTGTTCAAACCGTGACCACTGTCGGGTATGGCAACTTGCAACTCACGTCCACTGCGTCCAAGGTCTTTACGATATTCTTCATTCCAATTGGTGTGGCCGTGGGAGCTAGCACCATGTCGAGCCTGGCGAGCATTCCTCTTATCAAGCAGCGGGCTAAGGCAGAGAGGAGGGTCCGTGGCTAGACCGCTATCTCCGTGTTTGCCGACTTCCTTGTCTGGCAGGTGTTGCATCAGTTTGGCAATGAGCTCGACCCTAGGGCGTTCGATCAGCTATCCAAGGCATTCAAAGAGCTAAAAAGGCTCGGATTGTGCCAAAGTCCCAAGTGGGATGCAAACAGTGTGATCAGCCGAGACTGAACATGGCTTGGCAGATTCATAACTAGGAATGAATTTCTGATCTGGATGCTGCTACAACTGCAGAGGGTCGATGAGAAGGATCTTAAATATTGCGGTGAGTGGTATCAGTCGAGTCGAGAGTCGTTCGTCACGTTGCAGTGACAGGCGCTACCTTCGACATGATGGATGCCAATTGTGATGGCCGCCTCGATTACCGTGACATCCAAGAGGTGCCCGGATCTTGACGGCTCTATAGGGGATCTCATTCTTAGGTGCGACGAAAGGCGGTCCAACAAGGCAGGCGCATATCGACTCGACCTCCGGACACCACTGAAGCTGGAGGCTCATCGTCCCAGCAGTCGAACCATGCTACTCCCACTCTTAATATTCCCAGTGAGTTACCATGCTAGAGCGCTAGCTATGATGATTCTGCTGTAGACAGTTCAAGTGTGTCGGCACATCCAGCAGATGAAGAGGCACCGGAGCTCCTACAAGCCGAGCCCCGATGCTCTCATAGTTCCGTTTTCTTGGGTCAACCTGAAGTCGGCTATGGGGAGCTCTACTCGAAGTCTAGCAATACAACGTAGGAACGATCGGTCGTGTTGCTCATTCCCACTTCTATTGTCAGCATTGGATCATCCCCGCGGAATGGCGAGTCCTTTGCAGTTGGGCGCGAGACCACTCTGGACTGTGTCACCCGGGACCTGGTGCCAATAATGATGAAGTCTCATACTGTTATGGTCAGGATCGAACCATCAGCTTTGACTGGTTTAAGCAAAATTTCTCTCCAGCTTTCCCGAACCTGTGATAAGTCGGCACGGTTCGTGCGGTCTGGTACCATGGCGGATGATGAGTCCGTGGCTAGCGATGATTCTCAACCTGTTGCGGAAGTTACTTCACTGTGAGTCGGATGCTCTGGAGGTTCTGCAGGTCAAAGGAACGAATTCAATACTCGTGGTTCTCAGTCCAAGGAGAGAAGCATCGCCTCCGAAGAAAACTGTTCGTCTCTGTATTCCTGACGAGGAAGTCTCGACTTCCCCGCCCGACTTTGAGAAGGGTAAAACGTTGGGGCATTTTGCAGTTATTCATTCTGATGGACAGACCCAGGATCCACCCCGAACCGAGGAAGACGACGCACGATTAGAGGCAGAACGGTTCACTTCACGGAGCTATCCAAAGGCACCGAGCATCAACACGGCACCCCCATTGCCCCTGATTGTAACGTTTGAATGATCTGAGAATAGGTATATCGAGCCAGCGTGGCTATGTCGGTCTGTTTCTTGTGAGTGAAGTCCAAGTCGTGCCCGCTCTAATGTGTAATCCTAAACTGTGACTCTCTTAGTGAAAATTGTGTGGAGTTTGGCACCACGTGAGTATGGGAGCCGACCGATCCAGGCCTTCTACAATCCGAGTGCTCCCAGACTGCTTCAGCAGTTGCCAGCCGATCAATACGGCATTGACCTGCTCACGACATTCGAATGACTCCTTTCACGGACTTTAGGGATCGCGAACGGCAGCAGCTTCTTCATGCTATAGGCTAACACGTTGAAGCTCCTAGGGCTGGGAAACTCCCATGTTGCATAGACCATGCAACATGTTGCGCAAAGACGCTTGTCAGTGATGCAGCGAACCTCAAACTAGAACGAGTCGGATCCATTGGACACCTCTCAGATGTGAGGGAATCTTCAGGTGCGTCGTTTGTATTTCCATATTAGATATCTTTATGGCGGCCACCCACCAGTGATGGAATCCTCACGCTTTCTTATGCAGAATCAATCGTTATCGGTCAATCCTCACTACATTGTAGTGAGGATATACCGGACGAAGGTATAGTGCAGCGTAGTGTGATGCATCATCTCAACGTGTTGGCCAGTCCTGCTCAGATCATTAGTTGGGCGATCCCTCGTATAGATCTCATCGGAACTCCATCGAGAATGCAGGTTTGTCTGAGGAGCATCGGTACGGTTTTGCCGCTTGGTTCGCCCTCTTTCTTCCGATACAGCCTTTGAAGTTGAGACTTTGGAATGGGACTCGGGCATCGATTTAGCGTAAACCCATTTGTAACGGGTGATGGTGGATGGGGCGAATTAATCATCACTCATATGCATGGCTCCTCAACTTTCGAAATATATACTGCCAAATTTACAGTTGCGTTGAAGCCTTTGTATCTAGTGTGTTCACTATTGACAACACAAACACCATCCGCATTTGGACGACCCTCCTAACCTGTAAGACTTAGAGTGTTCTACGAAGCGAATATAAGTCACTGCGAGAGAACGTCTGTTAAAGACGTGAAAAATATGGAAGGATTATGAAATAACCAAATCGTATCATATCAGCGGGCTCACACCGCCGTTTGCTATAAACCTCGTAGTGGGAGCATTAATGTTAGGAGGGACATCAAGACTAACGAGGGGGTCTCGATATAACTGTGTTGAGCTGAAGATGTGGGCTTTGCGGTAGGCGCCGGTGTCGTAGTGACTGGTATGTCTGCTTGGAGGTTATGGAACCCGACCTGATGCCCGTCCCACCATTGACATAGTTCAATGGACGGCATCTCATTATCGGGGTACTGATTGTTAGATCTCCAAGGCTTCATGACCATCTCATCGCCGATGCTCATGTAAATCCCCTGTGCCTCAGAGCCATTAAGACTACACCTTTTCCCGTGCAAGTTTGACAAGTGAGCAGACAAGAATGACAATGTTACCATCAAGAGTGACAATGAGAATTCAAGTTTGTCACAATTCAATTCTGTTACAATCAAGTTTAACTTTGAGAATTCAAGTATGTCACAATCGAGATATGTTACCATCAAGATTGACAATGAAAATCCAAGTTTGTCAAAATTCAATTATGTTACCATCAAGATTGACAATGAAAATCCAAGTTTGTCAAAGTTCAATTATGTTACAATCAAGATTGACAGTGAGAATCCATGTTTGACACTTGTTTCATCAGTTACAACCAAGTTTGACAGTGAGAATTCATGTTTGACACCGCCAGAATATATCACAATCAAGAATGACAATAAACCACACAAGTTTGACAATACGCACACAAGTTTGACAATACGCATCCAAGTTTGACACTTCGAAGAGAGTGCTTCAATGTGAGTCGTAAACTCATAAGGGGTCCTTATCATTCGCTTATTTCACGGCCATGCCACGTGAGTACAAGACGGTAGAAGATTCTGCTCGTAAGGCGATCATTATGAAGGCTAAAGAAGGTGGTAATGGTTGGATCAGTTTTGCTAAGGAGTTGGGCGTCAAACGGACTACTGCCTATCAAATCGTTAAGAAGAATAGAGAAGAGAAGGGATCCTGGGGTGGAAGAAGAGAGAAGACAGTGAAGGTCACCGCGGAGCTGAGTCGTCAAGTCTTGGAAGCCGTTGACGAGAACCCTTCTATCACATTGAAGAGCATCCGCGGGAAGATCGGCAACGCTCTGAGTACTTCCACTATTGATCGTATCCTGGATGGCAGTCTCATGACTCTGAAGCTGGTAACGCCGGTGCCAATCGACAAGAATAATGCTGCTAATATCGCTAAGAGGCGTACCTACTGCCAGGATTATCAGGCTGAGGTTCGTAAGAAGGTTCACATCGACGAGTCAAATTATAATCTTTGGACTCGAAGATCTTATGCGAGATCTGTGGTCGGAGAACGAGCCAAGAGGAAGGAGAGAACTGCTAAAGGTAGGAATCTCAATATTTTATTGGCGATAAGTGACGATGGAAATGTCGTACACCACGAAATCCATGTCGGATCGGTGACCGATAAGTTCAGAGATTTCATGGGTCGGGTTTCTGCTGCTCTTAATGGCGAAAATGCTGTCATTTATATGGATAATGCGCCTATACATAAAAAATTAGCGAATTTTCAGCTAGTGGCGAATAATCTGGAGGTTAGGAGATTCGACAGTCCGTATTCGCCTGAACTTAATCCATGTGAAGGATGTTTCTCTGTGATCAAAGCCTATATCAAGGAGAAGTTGAGTGAGAGGGACCCGATGACAGATAGGCAGAGAGCTGAAGAGCAACACATGTATTTATACCAGTATCGAGAAAATATGCTGCGAGGAATGTGTGATGATGCTATGCAAGAGCTTACCACTGACAAGATAAGAGCCATGTATAGGCTATCGGATACTTGGGTGAACAAAGGGAGTCAAGGGGTCGCTTTTTGAATTTTTTCGATGTCATCCCAAGTTTACATAGAGCTCTCGATGACTCGGGAGCTTCCTCACTATGTAATGCGTGTGATTTTATAAGTGGGCAATGAGTTTAAACCGTATGTCAACATGTCGAGTTGAAGTGTCAAACTTGGATGCGTATTGTCAAACTTGTGTGCGTATTGTCAAACTTGTGTGGTTTATTGTCATTCTTGATTGTGATATATTCTGGCGGTGTCAAACATGAATTCTCACTGTCAAACTTGGTTGTAACTGATGAAACAAGTGTCAAACATGGATTCTCACTGTCAATCTTGATTGTAACATAATTGAACTTTGACAAACTTGGATTTTCATTGTCAATCTTGATGGTAACATAATTGAATTTTGACAAACTTGGATTTTCATTGTCAATCTTGATGGTAACATATCTCGATTGTGACATACTTGAATTCTCAAAGTTAAACTTGATTGTAACAGAATTGAATTGTGACAAACTTGAATTCTCATTGTCACTCTTGATGGTAACATTGTCATTCTTGTCTGCTCACTTGTCAAACTTGCACGGGAAAAGGTGTAGAAGAGTAAGACAACCAGGATGGGATACTCCCATCGGGTAGCCCTGGGCAGTGTTGTTGTGGACCCGTCGGACTTCCATCGGCTGCCATGTGAGACCACATACAGGAGAAGGCATCGCTAATATTATGGAAGGCGTCACCACGTTGTCGAGGAGGATGTGCCATATAGAGCGAGAGGAGAGATGGTATCGCAAATGATGAGAAGTTCACTGGTACGTTTCTGAACTGTTTGAATACGAAGGGAACTTCGGCTGAGTGGAAAGTGCCCATCTCTTCCAACGTTAAATTCCCATAAGCTTGGAAGAATCCACCAAGCCTGAACTCACCCCAACTGCCGAAGAGGTTAGGCATATCGAAAGAATACATCCAAATTGGAGACTTCCCTTTGTCCACAAGAGCGTCGGCAAGTCGCCTTGCAGAGCAGTGGAACATAATGTCTCTTATAAGATAGAAAACCTGTTCGAAGGGACCGTTCGCGCTACCAAAGACAGAGGAATATCTCTCGAAGTGATACAATTCCAACAGCTCCTCGACAGCAGTCTCGTTCTGCACGAAGTGATATATGGCCTTGCGGACACCGTCCTCCGCCAATGGCATATTCAGTCCCGGGATAAGCTTTGGTAGCATAAGACCAAACATTGAACCTTCATTTTTGTTCACCCCCAGGATGACCGGTACGTCATTATGCAGACCATTCTCTACCATGCGTAAGGGATTATCAGGCAGAGCTGTACCGTCTATAATGGGACCCACAGGCATTGCTGGGAATAGGGGCGATCCCCAAGGCGGCGCACGGGCCGGATCGAAACGTATTCCATTTGGTATGGTAAAGTTGTGGAAGTCGACCTCTCGGAGGCAGGCAAGATCATTAGCATCCTTACAACCTGCGAGTTCACTTGCGACCCAGTCATAATATCTGAAGGCATCTGTACGAGTCTGGAAGAACATCGGAGTTGAGGCCGTTCCAGATTGCACGATGGCTGCGTGAAAGAGACCCTTACTCCCCGGAGCCGCGATGTGCCACATAACGGAGAATGCCCCCGCGGATTCTCCGAACAACAGAACTCGGTTCTTATCGCCGCCGAATGCCTCGATATTCTGCTGTACCCACTTCAGGCCCAACTGAGTATCCAAAGTTCCCCAATTGCCGGTAGTGCCCTCCTCTGACAGAGAGCTCTGGGAACCAAGGAATCCTATGTGACCTAGTCTATAATTAACCGTAACCACAATAACGTTGTGTAATGCCGCTAACGCCGTGCCGTTGAAAGACGAAGCATCCCCATCGACGTAACCTCCGCCATAGATCCAGAACATAACCGGAAGGTGCACGATCTCGGCAGCAGAAGGTCGATAAACATTGAGAAATAGACAATCTTCGTGACCAGCGGTGGAACCTGTATCAGTCAGGATACTGCCCGATATTTGAAAACATTTCTCTCCAGGCGTGACCATAGGGCGGGTAGCGGTCCAATTTTGGGAGGTGTAGGGTCGGGGAGCTCGAAACCTCAGTTCTCGCAAGGGAGGTTCTGCATAGCGGATGCCCAAGAAGATCTCAACATCCTGGATGATGGGCTGCTGCAGGGAGGTATCCTCTCTGACCACCATTCCAGATATTGGCCCGTTAGAGATTTGCACAGGCTGGAAGCCAACGCTCGTGGATAACAATATGAGGGGAAAAAGACGATCCAGCATCATTCAGATGGGATACTGAAGAGTAACCAATCAGGTTTCGATAGCTACATCTAGCCACATCATATCCTTCCAGCTCTACGTCTCGTGACACAGGCCGGAGACGTGACGGGGTAGCCACTGGCAGATTGAAAGAGCCCTAGCTTATCTTGGGTACTGCTACCTCTCGAATATTGTCACCGAAAAACCTGAGTGCTTGATGCTACATGCCGCAGCTTGTCGACAGCTGAGGTTCGCTGAAAGGAGTGCTTACTGACGTTTATCACTGCGATTTGGCGTCGTGTACAGTGTAGTACAGTATTGATATCTGTTCATCACTAATAATACGCATGGGATCATACTCGGTAATGATTAACTATCGAATGTGATCCCATGCCGCAAGTTTTAAGCGAAGAATGCGCACAAAAAATGTTAATATTGTGCGATTACGGGTGGCTCTTGATGTGAGACGCCGTGAATCACGGCACATGAGGGAGCAACCGCGCAACTTAACTCGATACCTCAAGAGGAGTGACAGAGAGTCGTCCAGTGCGTGGAGCGTAGACCAACTCTAGCCGAGATAGGGATGGCTTCTTACGAAGGCCTGTAGTTACTAATTTCGAGGCAACAGCTGAAACGATTAGCGATCATCTTGCATTCTTGAGTCTTCACAATAGCACTCGCGGCGTCGCCAGTTAATAATTGAAGAACTGCAAGATGTGCGAGTGATCAAGACTCGATTTCTGATTGGTAGGTTATTAAGGCGTTGATCAGACCGTACTAGATAGCGGAAACAATGTGGTATCCCGGAGCGTCATCCTCGACGAACTTTCCCTACTCCGGTGGTGGTAGCGAGGCTCGAGACTTGGTATTGGCCAGAGCCTCTTACGGGGCCTAGTATGCAGTCCGGCCCGGCCTCGTCTTCGTGTCCCATCACGTGTCTCCCTTCGCATGGAGACTAGTCCTGTCATGGGTTAAGCTTGTCTCAATCAGGTATCCGCTATCTACTCTCATCTCATCCTATCCTTATGTGTGTGTTATTTTCGTGTTGTTCGTCCTCGTCGGCCTCTGTGTTTTCACTTGCGCTTCAATCACATGGCGAGCGCTATTCGGGCGGCCTCGTAGTAGAAAACGACACCGACGTCGTCATCGTCGTCCACGTTCACAGCGTAATACTGAAAGTAGTAGCGGTGCATCAAGTGAATCGGTCGATACGAGCATGTCCAGTATTCATAGTGGTTAGTAACCACTGATCACTATGAGAGGCAAGGTTTCGATACATGACGGAGGAGGCCACTGTATTTGGGCAATTCAGAGAAATGATTAGTGCCCCATTCGCGGCGTCCTCGATGTTGTGTTGATTCGGGAGAAGGCAGCATAGGAGAACATCTGGGGATCGTTCAGAAGTTTCAAGGAAATTTACATTTTTCGGTTGTGAGCCACAACTTGTGACATTTTCGGGGTAGACTCACTGGCAGTCGCTCAGTCACTACGAGGGAAAGCTGTATTCAGGATGGTAATGCTGGGAAGCAGGTCTGAGGTGGGCCTCACGCCTCGAACTGGATGACGTTACCGCTTCGTGGATCATTAAAGATTAATTTCATTGATCGATTGACCATTCCAGGTCATGAGGTATTTTGCCGTTAGTAATGTAGGGCAGATGGGTCACCCATCGTCATCTCCGCCCGGGTTGAAACCGCTGCAGGATATGAAAATCGGAATTTAGTCATCAGAATCTGATGATCAGGTGTTATCAATGATAAATGGGCGCATTATGCTATCCTCGGACAGTCTGCGGAACCTTCTTCTGCATATATTCCGCTCGTATCGGTCACTACCAACGTCCAAGCAATCCTAGCCGACCCGACCAAGGCTGCTGTCGTGTTCACTGATGTTGTTTCCCATGCTCTCGGGAAGCCAAAGAACTACATCACTGTAATGCACGAAGTGATGTCCGAATATTGCTCTACGATATCGACTAGGTTCAAGTCGTCCCCGCTACGAGCTTGGTTGTTGGAGGGGACATAAAATGGAAAGTGAAGGCTGGGATTGAGGTGATACAAAAACGGGTCGGCGAGGTTATGGCAGGATGTCCTCGGGCTGTGTTCGGTAAACAGCGGCCAATCTCAGGCGTGCAGCGATAGGAGACGGACTTAGCGACTTAGAGACCCTTGCCTGATGGCACTTTTCGGGATTGGGCATTGTCGGAACTGTTGCCCTCGGGCACTTCTCGGGAGGGCACATGCTTGAGAGAGAATGAGAGAATGAATACGGCGAGAACGACGCAGATAGTGTGGATAAGGTCTAACTTACTTCACACCTTTCGACGATTCAGTTTGGTTGGCTTCCCTCGAGGCAGCGACCAGCTAGTGTTGTTGTGTTGGTCCTGAGAGGAGGGCTTCTTCTTTGATGTTAGTTACCTTTAATGAGAGGAGCCCATCGGCAACACCGGAATCATGCGAAGTCGTTGTTTATTTCCCTCCTAGTGTTTTGTACTCTAGCCTTGGAACAGGAGCCAGAGCTCCCGATAGGCATCGACTTCGGCAGCTATGCTCTTAAGATAGCTACTGTTGGACAGCATAGTACTACCGATTTGGTCGTCAACTCCCTCTCAGAGCGGTCGACGCCCACTGCGGTCAGCTTTGCCCACGATGTCAGAGCGTTCGGGACCCAGGCCCTGTCGGACGCCTCCAGGAAGCCTTCGGAGGTCTTCTCGGGGCCGGAGATATCGCAGTTTAGGAGCGGCCCTTTCTTTGTGAATGGAACGACCCTCCGAGCAGAAGAACTCGTAGCGCAATCGCTAAGGAACGCAAAGCCGTGGCTAGCACGTAGTCCTCGGCCCGTGGTCTTTACAGTACCGGCGTCAGCCAGCCAGCGACAAAGGCGGGCTCTGTTACACGCGGCGGAGTTGGCTGGGCTGTGGGTAGATGGTCTCGTTACGGAGGCTCTGGCTGCCGGGGTGGTACGCTCTCAAGACTTTCTGGCCACCAACGAGAGGACTAGGACGGAAGTGATTGTTGATGTTGGGGCTGGGCATATAGAGATATGCAAGGTGAAGTTCACTAGGGAGGAGGTGAAAGGTCTGCTCAGGAGCAGTCGGAGGATTATAGCTGACGTCAGCCTGTTGGGGCCATGTGTATTCGATGACGAAGTCGGCACCTTGTTCATGGACCGCCGATTGGCCGATGCTGCCCTTAGACGTTTTGAGAGCATTCATGGCGCGATACCAACAGGGCCTTCTAGGGATAAGGCTAGGAGACGACTTGAGCTGCAGGCGGCGACTGTGAGGGGAGTACTCAGTGCGAACCATGAGGCGACATTGACGGTGGAGTCGCTGTATAATGGCGACGACTTGTCAATGAAGTTGACGCGGAGAGAATTCGAGAATATCAACAAGGACATGATGGGAAGGATCGACGAGCTGATAGGGAAGTTATCATGGGAGGGCGTTGTGGGAATTGAGCTCATTGGAGGAGGCTCCAGGATACCAGCAGTACAGCAGCATATTGAGGCACAGGTGACTTGGAGGCATTGCCACGCTTCACGGTCACACGGTTGGACAGGTAATGATGCTAGCTGGTCGTAGAATCCCTCTGGGACGGCATTTGAATGGTGATGAGGCAGCCAGCAAGGGTGCAGCCATCTGTGCCTCTAATCATTCGCTCATCGTGCGCGACGCTAGTCTCAAAGGGAATCGGCGTATATGGCTCGAGGATGGCCACCATCGAAGCTATTCTATTGGATGGGATGGCTCGGGTAAGACGTCGTTACGATGTTCGTATGCCTGTCAGGAGTCATAGATTGCTGGATGTCGTTCAGATGAGCGCACGGTGATAGCGCCAGCTGGAGGAGAGCTGCAGTTCCATCGTGAAGTGGAGATGCCTCTATCACGTGGTGGGAGTGGTATTCTCACGGTCTTCGAGAGCGATCCTCGGGCCACGACTGATCGGCCCATCCTACGGTGAGGCTGTGGATCTCCACTTGTCCCGTCAGTCCTGCTAAGCCCCGCTCGGTTGTCGTCAGCTTCCCTGCCTAGTTCATACCGATCTTGCAGGTACCAAGTTGCAGGGCTGGCCAGTGCTCACTTATTGAAATTAGTGCTGCGAGGGGACCAGAATGGGATCATATCTCTGTCGCATACTAGGGAAGGCGACTCCATTGAGGTCAGTATAGCGTTATTCACAACTTCTAGTAGTAGCAGCGTATCGTGTCAGGTGAAGCTCTTGGACTTCGGCGAGATGTCGCCACCACCTATGCAAGCTGGAGAGCTTGAGGAAAGGAAGCTGAGGCTCGATGAATGGGATCGCAGAGATCAGGTGGGCTTCTACAGCTGTACAAGCAACTTGTGGATGGTTCATAATGGAGAGTTCAGGACGCTAATACGGTCTTGGAGGCGTTGGATCGACTCGAATCCAAGATGTATGCTACTCGGGATGCCCTGGGTAAGGGTCATCATAACTCGAGTATGTATGTCCCTCTGCAGATTCGGATAACTATACTGTAGTGGCCACCGATGAGGAGTTGAATCATATACGTTCTGTGCTGGCTGATACGGCCAGTGTTGTCGAGACAGGCCGGAGCGCTACGGCAGAGGAACTCATCGCACAGACGGAGTGAGTCGGGTTTGCGTGAATCCTTAACTAGTCTGAGGCTCAATTAACGCGATACGATACGTCTCAAATTTCCGTAGGTGTTTGGTATCTGATTGTTGGATGAACTGATGTATTGTGAGCCTTCTGCTATTTCTTCAGAGCGATCGATGATGCATTATCACCAGTACTAGATAAGGGTAGAGAGCTTGAGTCCAGGCAGGAGACCACGAAATGGGCAGTTGACCAGCTCGAACAGGCAGGCACATGCTCCCCTCATTGGAAGTCAGCCGCATCGTTCACAGTTGCACGTCCTTGTTACTCGTCTGGAGGGCCGAGCGGGAGCTTCGGATGAGGGACCGGCTAAGATCGACAAAGCCAGGGCTTTACTGGACAACGTGAGTTCCAATGCGTTCCCTATTACGACGCTGGTGACATGCTATTCTCCGTATCGAAGTTGAGTACCGCGATGTATGGTATCATTTGGTTTCAGGTTCAAAAATGGTGGGTCGATGTCTCAACTAGGCAGGAACGGCTGAGCTTGAAGGCATCGCCAGCTTTCAGAAAGGAAGTGAGAAAATTAAGCTCGACTGGGCATCTGACGCCCTATGCTATCTTCAGTCGACCCGCAACAAGATCCATCGAGTCAGAAGCCTGATAGAAGGCATTGCTCGAACATTGGGTGTCAGTGTTGACCATCTCGACCATCAGCAACATGTGTTCATTTCGGATAATGATGAGGGCTCTCGCAAAGGAGGGGTGGACCGCCACGATGTCACGTCTTCGTCATCGTTGGCACCACCACCATTCACTGCACCTTCGCCTGAGAGGGAACGACCGGTCTGGCAAGGTGCCGTCCAACAAGACTTATCTCGTGTGCACAAAAAGAGCCTCGAGCCGCCGCCGTCCTCCGCATATCAAGACCGTAGCCCTCCCAAAGTTGGTCACAGCTTGCTCGACTCTTTGAGTAACAACTCTGGTCAGCAACAGCTTGGGAATGAGCTGTAGCAGACACGATGACGTGAATTCGACTGTCTTCTACTTGACCGAATATGCCCGTCTATCATGCGTATCTAATCGTCTCAGTGGGCTCCGCGCCTCCACGAGGACAAATAGCTCCCTTGTGTATTCTTTGGTTTTTAACTCACTGGATGCCTTTACGTCTCTATCTGGTGACAGCAATGTGATGCGAACAATGGTGATTGAATGTTCTCAACACACTCTTAAGTGTCCACTCCATTTTTAATGCTCGATTGGAATAACCGTCTTTCGTTATAGTCGCCATATTGGGGATCACATACGATGCGACTTCAAGACATTGCCCGGTCCCTCCGCGCTGTCTTGGGAGCGGTTACAGCTTTTGAATGGACTGTTCGGGAAGAGCGTACTTGCAGTTGTGGTAAGATTTTTTCTCGGCTTGATATTCTGTGAAGAGATGGCGTTCGCATTCGTACCGTGGGCGACCGGAGTGGCATTCGCTTCTGTCGCTGTAACCATGGCGAGTAAAGAGATAGCAAGGGCGCAGGAGAATATGCTCTACGACTCGCGGAGAGCTGCAGCCGGGGTGAGTCATTTCTGTTTCTCGCTCAATCTGTCCAGGAACCCTTTTGGTGTGGTATTCCTGTTCAGATAACTCCATATCGGCCGTACTGTCCTACTCGGAAGCCGTCGATCTTCTCCCCTCAAGTGTCCAATATGGTCCTAATGCGTGTGTATAACCAGTTCTTTGGTCATGGTACGGAAGACTATATGTACCGACTACAGTGGTGATGTACCGAGCCACGGTCAGTGTGATTACTATCATTACCATTTAATTGCTCATCGGGAGTTCCGAGTTACTACTGGTTGTCGGGGGACTGTCGAAATGTGTCACAGCTCGCCGAATGAATGTGATATGAGCTCCGTTGTATTACGAGTGTTGTGGATACAGCGGTCGAGACTCTGGCTTTATATATGACCGACTCTCGGTTATCACGAAGTTACTTGAGGGCGGCACCTTGGGTCTTTTTCTAACTTCCCTCCATGGACCCACCGCCACTTGCACGTCAATCATCTCTGTCGAGCATAGAGTCTCGCCGTCCCAGCGAGTCTCCACAGCCGTTCTTCTTACTATCGAGACATCTTGGGCGGACACCAACACCCCGCTCCTTCAGTTCGCATCGTGAGAATGCCTTGGAGAACGGTGCAGCGAGGGACACGGAACAACCCCTAGTCAGGGAGAGGAAGAAAGTATGCGAATTGCAATCGACCTTTAATAGAGTCTCAATGGATATCCTCATTGAGAATGTTCTCACTAATGCCGTGGCTCGGGATTGAACCTGCAACCTGTTTTTCAGCCTCGAGTAACAAACTATCACCGAGCCTTCAACATAGTAGATTTCTACTCCTCGTATGATGATGTTCCCGATCAGCCAAGGGTAAGCAATGAGCCATATCATAGACGGCGACGTTATGGTGGATCCTTGTGTCAGGTCTTTCTTGCGAGTTCTAAGGCCACTGCTGGGAGCCGCAAGGGCTTTCTAAGACGGCTACACATGAAGTTCTGGATCTTGCTGGCGCTCCTTGCCGTGCTCGATGCTGTTGTCAGCTACGGTATGGATGTCAGTCAGGAATGGTAACATGTGATGAGCTTACCGACAGTCGAAGATGTTATTCAGGCTGAAGGGGATGGGTCTGAAAGTTGCATGCGATCCATCACGTGAAACTCCCTGTGAACACTTCGATACTCTTGATAACCCTTTTGCATACATATTTTACAGCGTAGTCATGGTAGTCTTGTCCAATCTAATCTGCCAAGGTCTCTCCACCGAAGTGAGTTGCATTGTTGTTTGAGCATGTTGTATGAACTCCTCTCAGGCGATCGGGTCTGGAATTCCTCAAGTGAAGACGATCCTTGGTGGTGCCTCCTTACCAGGCACATTAAAACCGAAGACGTTCGTTGCCAAGTGTGTTGGGCTCACTTTGGTCCAAGCGGGTAAGCAGCGTGTATAGAGTGCGTAGTCGAATGCACTTTGTTGTCAGGAGGCCTATGGGCTGGTAAAGAGGGCCCTTACGTACACATAGCCAGCTGTCTAGCCTACATGCTCACTAGTCTACCACTCTTCCGATCATGTCGGCAATCCCGGACGAGGTGGATGCAGGTAAGACGCTTCGATTGACCGTGAGCTTGGTTCGAAAGCCAGTCAGGTCCTCAGCGCTGCTGTATGCTGTGGCGTGGTGTCGACATTTGGTTGTCCGTTCGGTGCCCTGTTGTTTTCCATAGAAGTCACAGCGTCATTCTTTGTGGTACATCACTTGTGGACTAATATGGTCTGTGTCCTCTGCTGTGTGATCACCGTTAAAGTCCTCCAGGTAGGTTATCGAGATCGCTCCATTTGTGACTATTACTCTCAGGCTTCCAACACGGTCGATCTATTTGATTCGATTGACAATCTACCCGTCTGGGACATCTCGTGGGAGCTAATTAACTTTGCATTGTTAGGCGTTGTTGCGGGTGAGGTCCTCCATTTCTTGATGCAAGCAGCGCACTTCTGTTGCCATCCCACTAGGTCTAACCGGTGGTCTCTTTGCGTGGATCCTGACGAGAATGCTCAACGCCACGAAGAAGTACAAGACCACGAGAATACGGCAGGTGGGTCCCATCATCGGAGTTGGCCTTATCCCGAAGGATACCAGCATGCTCAAGATGTCTGTTACTCAGATTCTGTTCTGCGCTGTGTCTGCAGCGCTGGTGGCAGCCACTGATTACAACATTCCATGGCTACGCAACTGCGATAAGTTTACAATCAATGAGCTCTTCTCGACCCAGGGACCTCTAGATTGGGATCCATATCTGTTCTTCGTCCTCATTATAAAGTTATTAGGTCAGTTTCGCGCCCGCCTCTTGGTCGACTTTCACAAGTTTAGGTATCGCTGTGACAATATGTCTCCCTGTGCCCGCTGGGGTCTTCGCACCTACTTTCCTTGCTGGCGCACTACTCGGAAGGTAAGCGATGAGTCCTCTATACTCGCTGGCACATCTCTATCGATAGGTTTTATTACCTTGTCACCTTTACTATCGGTGATTCGACTAAGCTCTTTACGTTTGAGAAACCTGCCAACGCCTATGCTATTGTTGGGGCCGCGGCACTCTCTGGAGGATTCACCCGCTCCATCTCAACTGCTGTCGTGGTCTTCGAGCTCACGAACAACCTTTCTCTGTTGGTACCTGTCATCACTGCGGTTCTTGTCGCTTACACCGTCAACGGTGCTCTCATGCCTAGTTTCTACGATATCATGCTCATCTTTCGAGAGCTCCCATACACTCCCGCCCTACTGCGAGACGACCAATATGCTGTTTCTGCTAAGGACATGTTGGATCCTATAGATCCTCGTAAAGTCGTGTGCCTTCGCGGTACGACTATGCGAGAGCTCGAGGAGGTCTCGAGATACTATCTTCAACCACCTAAAGATCAAATGCGACATCACTGCCCTGTTGACCCGTATGTCCCAGTGGTACAGTACCAAGCAGGTCGGCCTGTTCTCCGTGGTACCGCTAAGGCCTTGGACCTTGAACTGGTAGCCTCTGAATCTTATGATATGGGCGAAGACCCGGAATATACTCTTGTGGATTGGACAGCACTCGCTGATCTCATTGATTGGTCACCACTTGTTGTGGGACCGAACACACCAGCTGCTCGGTTGCATTTCATATTTACAATGTTGGGCTTGGAACAGGTAGCTGTGATAGACATAGATGGTTTATCCGAGCCACCCCCGCCTACTTTACACTTGAACAATAACAGCTCACACACTGGTAGTTTTATGCCAGCACATGTCAACGGTGCTACACTACTAGGTATCATTGATAAAGATAAGTTCAACTAGTACTGTCGTCGAAGTCACTAGGGTGTACTATTCGTTTTCGATGAAGGTCGATGTATAATAAGCTGTGTTTCTGTGTTTCTTCTATACCCTGCGCAGAGTTAGGTGAACGGGAGGAGGAATCAGATGACACGACGTAAACGCGTCCACGTCTCGCTAACACTACATTGACTGGCGATGGCTTATGGACCATGAGAAACCTACAGACGCCAGCTCGAGTCGTTATGTTCTGTGATCTCGAGTTAAGAAGGATTGAATCCCATTAGATGGAGCCATGTCCCGAATATGTCTCATCTCGAGAGCCTACAGCCCAATCTTCATCTGCCGCGACTACCTCCCCTCGTGCCCCGACTTTCACTGACATGTCTTCGCTCTCGACCACGTCCCCAGAGGGTCGTGAGTTCAGTTTGAAGCCTCTGGCAGAATCAGAAGTGGGTCTAGCTGTTCGGAATTTACCCACTATTTATCATATCTGCAGGTACAGCAAGGCGAACGGCTACTCAGTGCGACTATTGCCGAGGTGAAGAGTTCGGATACGAATTCGTATTCGAGATCGGGTTTGCTGTTGATTTGTTCACGAGCACGTCCAGAGGAGTGCGCGCTTCTGGTGTACGATTTCGAGGATGCATCGGTTGTTAGTGGCCCGACAGCCACCAAATGTATTCCCATTGCCCAAAATGTGTCTGTTACATACGATGCATCAGCTCTATACATGTACTGGTCTGCCAGGACTTGTGGGGAACCCAAGGAGGAGTGGCTCGAGATCTATCTCTATGCGTCATCTGTTGATGCTAGCCCATTCAAGGACGCGCTACTACGAGCTCAGAGTGTAGCTGAAAATTCTAGTGTGTCCTATACCGGACCTAGGTATAGTTTTCGATTCGATTGGTTATGGAGGTATGGACAGCCGATGTGTCTATCGAGTGGAGGAGATCTTCTCGACGATGGTGATGTTCGAATTGATTTTAATGAGCTCGGCGGTGTGAACTCCCGTGAGTCTGAGGAAATGCTCGCTCGGACGGCCACTAGCAAGAAAACTGAGAAGAAATTCAACGTCTGGGTGCTTACGTGGAACGTTGCCGCTCAGAAGACTCCCAGCGAGGTCCCCGCAGAACTGATCCCACCGGATGGTACCGAAATAGTATTCATAAGTCTCCAGGAGACGATAGAGTTGAAGCCCGTTAACGTGTTGTGGAAGGACAATCATAACACATACCGATGGCTCGACATTTGGGACAGTGCCCTCTCCAACTACATTCTGGTTGGTTACGTCGAACTTGTTGGAATTCTCCTAGCGTGTTTTGTAGCTAAAGATGTTCATAAGTACGTCGATTACGTGTCCCAGGATGTATGTAAAACTGGTACCTATGGCTATACTGGAAACAAAGGAGCCGCTGGGATGCGCCTCCTTATTGGAGATACTTCCGTGGTTGCAGTCGCGGTGCATCTATCTGCTGGCGAAGGAGGATCTCAAATGCGACGCCGACAGTACGTTCTAGTTCGTGAGCTCTTCAGTAGAAACACTGAGCTTGGCATGAGCCTGCTTTGTATCGTATCGGTCATCCTTGTCAGGTACCGCAGAATTCTAGAGAATATAAGATTCAACTCGATGCATTGTTTTGAGTCAACTGCGATGTTTGTTTTCGGCGACTGGAATGCCAGATCGGAAATCGCCTTTGACGAGACCACTGATGAGCTCGTATCCGGATCAAGAGTAAGTCGGCCCTTAGGGAGGTGCATTGGAAGACCATAACGCATGTTCAATCTTCTCGAATATTTCAGGTGCCGCCGTTGAATACTCTTTGGGAGCCCCCACTGAGCTTCAAGCCCACCTATAAAATGATAGTCGGGACAGAAGGGCAACGATTCGCGTCTAAGCGTGTACCCAGTTGGTGTGACCGTATTTTGTGCCGAGGTAAGTTCTCGCATCACTACTCGAGCTCCCTCATCTAAGCATCGCTCGTGCCCGCGATTGCTGCCTATCTTCTCTCGTTAATGTCTCCTCTTATATTCTTCAGCGTCCTTCCCGCAAGCTCTGATTCCACAAGAGTATCGATCAGTTCCCCAGGTCGATACCAGCGACCATTCTCCTGTCATTGGCATCTATGAACTGTGTGTCACCAACGCTGTGTAATCATTATCTCTCATTATCCACGGACTTGTTGCGTTCGAGGTTCGGCAAGATCGATAGACCAAAATCCAATTATCACCGTCCAAGTAAAACGACCCTATAATCCTACTGGACGCAGCAAAACGGCGTTCATCGATAGACATTCCTTGTAACTTAAGCTCAACGGAACTTCAGCCTCCCACGGCCTTTCAAACTGGCTCCTGGACGCAACATCGATTTTCTCATGCTAGGAGTCCATGATTTTTGCGCGCGCGTGATTCAAGTCACTTCGCAAGTGGAGAGCTTGAAATGAGCACCTGGCATATTCTGTTAGGCTATTCGTAGACCCTATATCATAAGTTCAGCGTAGTCGGGTTTTACATTGAGAGGATGACCATCCCTATGTCAAGTCCTTTGCGAAATAGTGGTGATATTCCAAACCCGGTACATGCATGTGGACGGTGGAAGATCTTCACGAGGTAGCAATGTGAGCCTAGTTCACACCGATGTACAACTAAGCTCAACAACAGGGTCGGCTGATATTAAATGCGACAAAACCTCCTTCCTTGAATAGAAGTCTAGTGTAATAGAGACTACTACTGCTAAGCCGATACACTTACATATGAAATGAAATATCAATTATAACACAGCAGAACTAGGACAATTACGAGCACTATCAAACGCCTCTCCCACGTTCACTCGCCACAGCACTACCCCATTCCTCGTCATCATTGTCACTAGAATACCCCCAGTCCACATTGAGATCAGAACGTACAACCTTAGCTGCTGAGACCGGTAGTCTGGCCATCTCTGGGGAACCACAGGACTCCGTCACCATCGCTGCCCAAAGATCGTCCTCACTGAGCTCGTGATTGCCCAACATTATTTTTCGCAGAGCCTCGGGACAGGTAACCCTTACAGGATACCACACACCAAGGTTCATCTCCCTCTCGAGCTGACCACGCTCCCAAGCCGCTTTACCCACAAACGTCCTCCTCGGTGTAGTGGCTTCGGTGAGGAGTTCCGTATCTTCGGTCTGCTTCCAGCCATGAAAAAGGCCTATTGAGGTCTCATTGGGGCCTATACTAAGGGGATTTTTTCCCCTCACTAAGCTCTCGTGGAGCACCTCAACTGAGGCAACCGGACCACCAAACTGCCATCTGGAGGGCTCCTTGGTCACTTGGGATAAGACCGTCATGAAGGCCCCCTCCTGGGCACGCTGTTTACCATGCATATCCGATAGCCATGTCTCCTCTCCATCACTGCCACTCCCCCCTTGGTCCTTCCCCCCTGGAGAGGGCTGTCCTTTGGTTCTCTGCAATGACGCTGGTCCTACCCTCTTATTGCGTCGTATGCTACGGAAGAAAGCCGCTTGGTCCCGTAATATCTGCAACTCCCTCGTCCCTTCCCTCACTTTCCTGTTTACAATGAGACCATCAGGTCTCCAACCATGATGACCACGCGAGGCATCAGGCTTATCGCCACCAGTAATAACAATGACACTACGTGTCCAGGTACCCTCCTCGCATAAGGGATGGGCTAACAGGACCAAGCCCGGCACTACTGGTCCCCAGGAAGGCTCAATGGTCCCCTTCAACCATGCCGGTACATTACGGTCAACTGCCGACTCCAGCTCTACCATATCACATAAGGCCCTTATCCTCGACAAGTGGCGAAATGCTGAGAACCACGAATCTGTCGAGTCCATACCACTACGAAAGCACATACGAAGGAGGTCCACCAAACTGTCACCAGCCGATAAGGATGCACAAGTCGCCGTAGTCAAATGGCCATTAGGCCCTGGTACCGAGACCGGCTTACCAGGGACATAGTAGTCCGCACCAGCCAGATAGGCTCTAAGAGCCTCAGTGTACAGCGGATCCTGCTTCTCCTCTATGGTTCTGTAGGCGTTAGTGATGAGTGATTTATACGCGGGGTTCTTGTCGAAGAAGCGAGCTATACGCCAGAGACCTCGGAACAGTGTTCCATCTACTGCTGACAACCCAGCCTTAGGTACCCGAGGATGGAGGCCAGAACGTAGGGCTGCTACTGCACGGACCTGGGAGGGACACAGAGTCCCCACAATCCGACGCTGCATGGTGACGATAGTAAAAGCAACCACTAGAAGAACGTCCACTCCGGCTCAACGAAATTACCGCACGCCACGAAATTCCACCCATAATGTGATTAAGAATGAAAAGCTTTGAAGTGTTGGAAACGACTACGTATAGAAGTGTTCAACTTGATATTAAAACTAATCTCAGTAGAAGAGGGGATACATCACATAATAGTGCACTGTGGAGGCTTCTTATCGCTGCCGTCGCCACTGCCTCCTTCCTTGGAGCCTTCCTGCATGGCCTTGTCCAGATCCCCCATCATTTGGCGTAGTAGATCTGCCAACATCATGGCCAATACTTGACCATGAGCAGCAGCCATTACCTGGGTTGTCAATCATTTCCTTCATCACTTTAGCCGACTCCTCGTCCATGCCCGAGTTACCCTCAGCCGAAGGGCCTCCAAAACCCATCTGACCATCCTCATCATACCTCCATCGGAACGCTGCAAGCATTACCCCTTTCAAAAACTGTGCGAACTCTTCTGCGTCCTCTTTACTAGCAGGGGCTGCCGCCGCCGCCGCATGCTTCTCCCCAGAGGACGACGACGAGGAGGCGGCGGGTACTATCCGGTCAATGACCTCCTCCGGTGGCGGCCCTAATGCCTGGAGCTCTCCAAATAGCCTAGATGCCTCCTGCTGCTCATCCTCTGTCAAGCTGTCCCCCTTGGACCCATCATAGATCTCCAACACGGCGGTGTACTTCCTCAGAATGAGCGTACACCTGTATACGGGCTTATGGCGCTGACCACTACTACTGGGCTAAGTATGCTACCGTTCCCGCTCTCTCTCTGGCAGATCCGACCCCTTCTCTGACCCCAAGAAGGCTTGCAGCTCATCTCGTATGTTCACTACTGGTTCCCGTATCGCCTCCTTAGCGAACATACCTGTGTCCAAAGGATACAACGCGGAACTTCGCCACCACAGAATCGAGGCCGCACTTTTTGATTCAAATACAGCAAAACCTGGCGGATCCGAAGCCTAGGTCGGCATGCCCTTGGAAAGTGAGTTCACTGCTGTACCCTAGAGTCGGCATTCCATCGCCCATACGCTCTCATGTAAGGGGACTGGGACTATCCTAGTCGAAGCCAGTATTGCCCCTCGGTACCCTTAGTTAATCCATTGATTTCTTTCATGAACTGTTCATCATCCCCAAGGTCTAGCTTTCTCATAGCCTCCATCAGCTTCTGTAGATCCTCATCTCCCTCATCTGGTCAATGCAATACCCACGGTAACACCACGAGCCTTACCTCCATCGCGCTGAGCACTCTCCTCGAGGCCCTTCACTAAGTCATTCAAGCTCCGCTCGAGCGTACTGGTCTCCTCTGAGGACTGACAAGCTGTCGTGGACGTGGATGCCGCCTTCTCATTGTCACCTGTAAGACCACTTTCACCCGTCGAACAACGACTTGGACCTACCATCAGCAGCCCTGGCCCCTTCGGATCTCATACCGTCCATTTCCTTCAATGTAGATTCAATGAGATCATCGAGATCCTCTGACATCTCCGGGGATGACTCATGGTTCGAAACTGGCATTAGGTAGGTGGAACGTCAACCAGACGAATATGCGCGTTTCCAGCGGAAATTCAGAATCGGGCGAGCGCTTTGTTTCATGGCGCGTGACGCAATCTGCGCAACTTTCTCTGATCGCAGACAGATTCGTGACCTGGCCTTCCCCGTTCTCCTCCCCACCTCCCATTGTTGCAGCCATTACTATAACACTGTTAACCACCTAAATATGCATATCATATTCCTTACGACCTGTGTCTACTTCTACACAGGACTCGCGGTAAGCCATGGGCGTGATGGTGGAATCACCTCGGCTCCACGTGGTCGAGTATCAATCACCTCGATAGCTTGAGAGACAATACATCTACGTTCATTAAGAGAGGCTTGGCATTAAAGCTGAATCAATTGGAATATGGGTTGGGCTGATGGTCTCCCCGGCCGAACGGTGTGAATATTCCCTACCACTCCGCACTGAACTATGTACAATCTGTATCATGATGCTGCCTTCCAATCAGGTAAGTCTGCAACCAAATACCGCCCTGAAGAAGGAAACCCTGGTAATAGTCCACCCCACACTATGGCATCTCCGGAGCCCCCCTTGTGAGTATTCGTAATACCCTTCCGTGTAGGATCCCCCCGATCACATATCATGGCCCGCGGCCTCGGTGAGTTTTAGAGGGAAGGGGATGGATCATCGGCATATACAATGCCGCCATTGGTCAGGTATCCCAAATAGCTGCTGGGAGCGGAAGGTACTTCGGCGTACAGTGCATGGAACAGCACTGCGGCAAGGCCCTCAACACTTGCCTTATGGAGGCCGATAAAAGCCTAGACCCCGACTTCAACAAGTACGCCTCTCTTAGTGTCGATACTCCCCACTATCGAGTTGTAGGGACAAGCAAGTAATGCAACAGTCTCAATGCGGTGTGACGCTACTTTGCCTTTGGCACGAGGAGAGCGACGAGGAGGACCTGGAAAAACAGGACCATATCCCCAACAAAGTGACCACCTCCCGTCTGCTGTTTGTATGGTACTACTCTCTTGCTAGCTATCGCCTACTGCAGTCAAGGCCCTTGCCTTGGCTAGAGCTGCTAGGAGGGAAAGAGGCGCCGACGTATGCACAGACGGTAAGGGTCAGCGTGCATGGCTCAACATGCAGTGATGATGTTATGTAGGGATCACTGCAGCCGAGGAGAGCCCTGTGGAGAACTCCCTCTTGAAGTGTGCTAAGGACTTCGGTTGCGAACGGATTGTGAGGTGAGTGTGATCATTTCGGATCACCGACATTTCGCCCTGCAGTCATGATCCAGCTGAAGTTGCAGCCTCCAAGGAAATACCATCGGACGACGCGGTTGTGCAGGTGAGCCTCCTCCTCGAGCGTTGCGGGCATTGCATTCTTGCCTGCCCCTTCCTAGGATACGTCCCTACTCAGCAACATGCCTTCTCTTGAGAAGGCTAAGGTGTCTATACAGTCCATCCTCCCCACCTGCCTCCGCGACCATTGCTCGGCCGAGCTCTCAGCTTGTGACACCAGTGAGCTGTCCTTCGAAGGCTTATGCGGAGTGATAACTTGTTCCATGTCAGATCCCGAATGCAACTCGGTATTCTCCTGCCTCGAGATCAATTCGGCTCGCCACGATAAGGCCGATGCCAAGAAGTGTACTGATAAGCTCATGGGACTCGATGAGATCAAGAGGAACTTGATCGCCTGCGCTGAGACTGCCCACTGCTTAGAGGTATTCACCTTTCGCTCAGCCCCTTCATAATGACGCTTCTTACAGGGGAAAATATCTCCCTCGTTGAACATTGAGGACGATATTGACTCCATCCCTGGCAAGCCGCGCTCCCTGCTACAGCTCTCTGGAGGGGATGTTGACGATGTTAAGCAGCAGCCCATGAATGAGGAGGTTGAGAAACAGAAGGAGGATGGCAAGTAGCGCCTCTCTGCCTTAGAGGCCTTGAGTGCAGTGGTGATACCTTCTCCTACAGGAAGCCTGAGGTGACCGAGGCGAATTCCGCGGAGTATCCGAGTAGGAGGGATGCTGGAGTCTGGGATAGACTGCTACCACTTGTGCGTACTAGTGATGGGGTTCTTGTCTCAGGCAAAGCCAACGGCACTGCTATAGCGGCGGCCTCCTCGAGTAGCTTTATGGAGGGCGCTATACCCGACTTCCTCCAGCCTTTAAGGGATGTCGCACGGAATGCTCAGCGGTTTGCTGAGGAGATGAAGAAGAAGGAAGAGGACCTTGATGCAGTTGCCAATGGAAAGAGTATGCCGATGGTTCATCGATCCCTACTACCATGGACAAGCCCGGGTCTGCCAGGTGCCTCTCCTGGGCTCTCCTTTATACAGGAGGAGATGAATGCCGATGGCGAACGAACGGATGAGAAGAACATCGTTAAGACCCCAGATGTTGTACGGCATCATCAGCACCGCTTCTTGTGTTGGCATGAACGAAGGCCTCAGTTGAACAATTCCCGAGACGATTCTCGCAAGCAAGCCCATGGAGAAGGACTGTCTCTGCTTGAGGGGGCCTCGAGGAGCGGCGACTGGGAAGCAGAGTATGGGCCTTGGTGATCTTGTCGAGTCGTGATGCGGTCCTTCTCAGCCTCGATAGGCAAGTGCGCCAGTGGAGGAGCTTCCTTGCCAGCGACTCTCGTAGAGGGAGGCAGTCGAAGGCCAACGATGATGATGACGATGATGATTCCTCCTCGTCGTTCCTTCAGATTGCTGATAAGGCCGATGCACAGGGCGATTGGGTGACCAAGTAGGGTCACTCTGGGTCCGCTTTCTGGTCACCATTGTGTTAGGATCGAGAAGTATATGAGAGAGGACCGTCAGCGTGTGTTGGCCGCCGCCCGAGACCCCAAGCCGAAGTCTTCGTCCAGCGGACCTGACTATGATGACGACGAGGGTGATGGAGTGGCTTCCTTCCTAGAGAGCTCCATGGTAGTCTTTGAGGGCGCCCTATGGCATGGTATGTATGATGTGGGCGCTCAGAGTGCCGCGGATGTTCGCTCGGCAATTCGGAAGGAGGCGGAGAAAGCTCGGGACATCATCAAGGCTCTACAGCAAGTGCAGAAGGTTCTTGTCGGGCAGGCAACAGACCCCAAGGTGATAGGCCCTCAGCATTACAGACTAAGGGACGGTTCTCTATTGAGCAGGGGCGGCCCCATCACTCGGAGAAGGTCGGTGGTCCAGAGGACAAGTCGGCGAAGGATACTAGGAAGACCTCAGTACGATCATTTCGCGCCTTGTATTTCGTCCAGTTGCTGATAGCAGGGGCCTGTTGCCACGGAAGCTGCCTCTGGTCCCCACATTGAGAGGGAGGCGGTCCAGGCTGATGGGCACGTGAGGACGGTAGATCTGAAATCGGTGAGTATAACGATCACATCGCCCAGTAACAAGACGGAATTTAGGATAAGATGGTTGAGCCCAAGATGATCAGCAACAACACTGGAGCGTCCTTTCTGGAGCTGAGGGCTCAGTCGAGGGCCCATGAGGCTCTCGAGAAGCTGAGGGCGAAGATAGATGCCGATATGACCAAGAACGCTGAGAAGGAGGACCAAATAGTACAGGAGATGAAGGATAGTGGTGGATCTCAGTCCCTGATAGAGGAGGCTAAGGGAGAGGTACTCGAGGCACTTCATTGCTTAACGCCTCCCACTTGGGCTCAGGCATCCCTTCCTGTGAGCCTTACACGGGCTATGGCTCGACTCGACGCGCTGGCCAAGCGGTTAAGTAAGGAGACCTCCGCCTAGGGATCTACGATGACCATGTGCTTGGAGGGTGTTGGTCTGCCAGTGTGTTGTGCTCATCACGGGAGTGGCGGGTGGGGGACCTTGTCTATGCAGCAATTACTCTAACACATACTCAAAACATCTATGCACTTCTCCTCCTCTTCCTTCTTCCTCATCTTACTCACTACGGTCCCGCTGGCATTGGGCATTCAGGCGGAGACGGCAATGGGCACCAGGCTCGCTGATAGGGTTATAGAGGCTAGCAAGAAGAAGTCGGAGGAGCTCCTCAATGAGGTCTGTGCCTCCACCACCTGGCTTGGCCTTGGTCAGCATCAACCTCAACAGGTTCACGAACAGATTAAGTCGCTGACCAGCGACTTGGACCAAAGCACGGCAGAGCAGAAGAAGGACTTGGACTTGTTGAAGCAGGATGAGGACTATCAGGATAAGTGAGCCTGGAGCGATGAAGAGGCTTCTTCCGGCGACTCACGTTAGGGCCCTCGAGCATACGGAGGCCAGGCTTAAAGATATTGCCAATGAGAAAATCACACTTCCCGGTAAGGGGGACCGCAGGGCCTGTCTGAAGGTTCTGATGGTCTGTGGCAGATTCGGTGATGAGCAGCTTTATGCAGAACAAGGCTGGTCAAGGGGATATCTTCGCACCTTTGAGGAGGGCCGCTGAGAAGGCTAGGGAATTCGCCGAGAAGCTGATGAACAGCTCGGTCGCTTTCGCTCGTGAGATCGCAGAAGTAGGAGACTGCACGAGCGAAAATCGTCCATTCCATAGGCTCGGCTGGAGGGCATCCAGGCGAAGGGAAGAACTCCTCATCTTTCCTCGAGGCCAAGGATGTGGGGTACTTCCTTGGTGATGCTGGTTCCCTAGGGACCGAGGATGCTGATACGGATGCTGCTGAGAGGGGCCTTAGCTTGGCTCAGGATGGGGTAGGTCTATGGGGGAGAAGTGACCACTTATTGTTGATGGCAGATCGCCAAGCTTGACGCTGATATTGCGGCTCAGAGGAAGATGTTGGCCACTGAAAGGGCCGATCTAGAGAAGGAAAAGGAGTCTACCGCCAAGCTCGAGCTGGGGGATGCCACTTTGGACGCTAAAGGATCCTCAGTGGCGTCGCCAGAGGCACAGCTTGTTGATCCCCTCGAGGACTCCTCAACTGAGTTCCCCGGCATCTCTTTCCTCGAGACCCATAACAGGGCGAGCTCGGTGGCTGCTGCCTCCAGGGCCCGGCTGAGCTCGTGGCTTCAGAGGTAAGGCTAGTTTGGAGAGCCTGGTCTGCTATATGAACCCTGGACGGCGCCGCATTCGATGGTCTATCTCGTACGTAGGTTCAGGATGAAGCTGAACAAGGCTAGGGTGGCGGCTGGTCTTCCTGAGCTGCTTGTCAATTCGTCCCAAAAGGTAACCGCTACGAAGGAGGATAAGCCTGTAGAGAAGAAAGACGCGGGACTCGAGAAGAGCTCCCACACTAACATGGAGAAGATGGGAGAACAGAAGGAGTCCTTCCTGGAGTGGGCTCCTCTAAACTTTGGCCGTATGTCATTACACCCTGTGTGC